ATAGTAGCGTGGCGCTCCCTAGGCCCCAATGCTATTCGGCTTATTTCGGACACTCTCAATAAGGAGGTCACTGCAGGAAGGCTTTCGGACAGCGTCACCTCGTCACAGATCTCTTGGCTTCCAAAGCCCCCAAAGAAGCCGGATAAGCCCACATCACTCCGTCCGATCGGGGTGATAGCACCTGAGGGCAAGGTCCTGGCAGGACTAGTGAGGCAGAGACTCAAGTCCACCCTCCATCAAGCAATGCAAGGAGTCTCTCAGTTTGGCTTCGTACCAGGTAGGGGCACAGAGGAGGCGATCTGTAAGGCACTCACACATGTGGACCAGGCCAGGTTCAGGCAGGCCCTTACAACAAGAGCAGCTGGTAAAGGACAACAGGGGCTTAAGCTTAGGGGCAGTCTCACGATGAGCGTAGACATGAGCAAAGCTTTTGATACTGTGGACAGGCTACGATTACGAGAAGCCCTGGAAGCTGAACAAGCAGACCCTCTTCTTATAGAGGTGGTGGGCCATCTCCACATCAAAGCCTTGTACAAGATGACAGCCAGCGATCAGAGCTTTGAGATAGCCACACGCAGGGGAATCAAGCAGGGATGCAAGCTTGCACCTTCCCTATTCGCCTTTGCATCCGGGCTTCTCTTCAGGAAGCTCTCTGGAAAAATCAGCCCCCCCGAACTAGTTAAACTACTCACCATGTACGCGGATGACAGCTTGATTCAGTCGCACTTCGAGTCTGAGTCTGGCCTCGTTACAGCACTAGGATACTGCGACCTTCTTCTGGATCAATTGGTTGAACTTGGGTTCAAGGTCAATCCGTCCAAGTCAGCTATACTGCTGCAGCTACAAGGCGGTTCAGCCTCGACGATAAGGAAAAAGCTATTTCGCCAGGTAGATGGAGAGAAGTTTGTCGAACTCCCTTCGGGCAGGTTGATATCGCTGCGGTACCAGGTCCCATACCTGGGGGTCATTCTTTCTTATCATGATTATGAAATGAAGACCCTTAAACATCGGCTGTCATCTAGTAAGTTAGCCATGTCAGAGGTCGCCCATGCAGTTAGGAACCATCGAGTCCTATCAGACAGACGTCGTCTGTCAATCTGGACAATAACTGCGTGGGCCTCTGCTCTGTATGCCCTTCACGTGGTAGGTCTGACACAGCAGGGATTGCAGAAGCTCCACTCACACATGATGTACCAACTTAGGTTTGTCCTGCGGAGTTACTCCCAGGAAACGAAGGAATCCAACCAGGAGTTACTCCGGAGAATACGGATCCCTCACGTGAAGGAGCAGCTGCAAAAGAGGCTTACACAGTTCATTAAGAGACAGCAACACTCAGATCCTCAGCTTCTACCACACTACAAGCTGCGCGCTGAGGCAATCAGCCAGGCTCTGGAAGGCCTTGCCATTGACTTTTCCTCTCAATCAGTAGCGGATAAGATCCTGACCTGCGGCGAGTGTGGAGCGTGTCTCTCCGGTACCGGGGCACTCCGTCGCCACCTGAAGAAGGCCCACCCAGATTCGCAGCAAAGCCTGAAAGGACCCAGATTTGATCCCATTTTGCACTCAATGCCAGGGTCAGCAACCTGCATCGCCTGTAGAGCAACATTCCGAACAGTGTTCTCTCTGCGCAAACACGTAGAAGCTTCTACATGTCCTCGGGTAGAGCTCTTGCTTCGACAACAGGAAGAGCTCCCTTTAGAAGCCCAGAACCGGATTTCACTTATAGCCACTCTACAGTCTGATGCCCAGGAAAATCCGGAAGGAGCAGCTCGAAACCCGGTGTTCCACGATTACCTGATGGAGCACTGTGCACTCTGCGGTCAGGTCCTTGTTGGTCAGAAAGGTGCCAAACAGCACTTAAACAAGCAGCATCCTGAAGTGATGGCCAAGCTTGAGAAAACTCTCCAACCAAGACTTGCTCAGTTCAAGGTCTTCTTTCACAAAGGAGATAGCTGTCGCTATTGCAAACTCCGTGTGGATGCCCCGGGTAGACATGCTCAGCAGTGCGTTCCACTACTGCAGGTGCACGTACTGCAGGAGGTAGCGCGTCAGCAGCTCAGCAAGCAGCCCCGAGAATACACTCGAACAAGGCCCACGACCTCTGCGAAGACAGCCACAAAGAAGCCCACAGCTTCAATGCCAGGTATTCCCCTTCCTGAATTTAGACTGGAAGGCTTTCTCCTGCTAGCCAACACTCGCAACCACTGCTATGCCAACTCAGGTCTGCAGTGTCTGCACTGGCTATCTGATCCCACAGAGGCGCCTTTTCACGAGGCTTCTCGGATCAGTCTACTCGCGAGAATCACCCCTGAACACAGAGTCTTCTCGGAGCTCACCACAGGATGGCTCTTTGACGGAGGACAGCATGATTCTGCAGAGTTCCTGCAGCAAGTGTTTAGGAATCTCTCTGCATCACAATTTGGACAGTGGGAAACTCGAGCATCAGTTCCAGAGGGTGTGATAGTCGATGAAGAAGGAGGTTCTCCCATTCATCTAGCCA